CGATCAAATCTCCTGTCTAGAGATGCGAAGCAAAGCTATTGCTCGAACATCTTCAGAAAATTCCTGTGACATAGCACCCTTTTATTTACTATACTGAATAACCACATGTTATAACTCCGTTATCAGTACAATGTAGAACTGACATGAAATGCCAAAATAAACACTACCAAAAGTAATGTCCACAAGCAAACTTGCTTTATCCATCACTCTTAATCCATATAAAATTAAAATTTCAACTAATGTTGGTAATTTCTACCAACCATCCACTCTGGATTAATCCGACTCCCATTTTGATATAGGAAGTGAAGACAAACTACTAATCCTCCTTTAGTACCCTAAGCTCATCTGAGTAAGGTACTACCTCCTCTAAGGCCAGCTCCAATACTCTAAGTTGACCGTTTCAATTTCCTTAGTAATAGCAAGTGTTATTTTTACACATGCTAAAACCCAACTAATTTCGCAATAATCACCGAAGGTTCATTTACCATCTCGGTTGATAAGATTATCCTCCTCCCAATAACTTCCACTAGAAGAAACTTAATGCAAAGTGTGAATCACCACATCCATCCATCTAAGCCGTCTCGTGATCCGTGCTATTGAACTGATATCTTACCAGTTCCAAATAGATAAAAAGAAACTGATGTAATTTTATCTGTCAAGCAAAATCCCAACCAGAATCCTGACCCTTGTGTCGAATCAACAATCTCTCGACTAAATCTGTGGAAACTACTCTGTCATTCCCACTCTAGTATGAGAAATAGCTATAAGGATCTAACGATCTCTGATGGTCCATCCGAATTATCTAATGGATAATAGACCTTAGGATCACTGTGTCCCTCTTCCTGTCTGTCCTCAAAACATCTGCTTCACTTAGTGAAGCATCATATTCCTACAAGGATAAATAAAGAACTAAGAGTTATAAACCTCAGTCCTTACATCCTCCTCCCAACTTGACAACTTATCGATATAGAAAGTCAATCAATAATTCTATTTATCACAAGTCAACTAACTATAACTTTTCCACATACACCGTGCACCTCTTCTTTATTTAGGTGTTCGGTCTCACCTCTATGTCTTTGACATCCCACTTCTCTAACACAAGTAAGTGTCCATTAAACTTCCTGTCTAACTTCCAAAAGAATATGTTATCCTTCCATCCTCCAAATGGTCAGCAATTTCCTAGCAACAACTATTTGTTGTGAACTATGACCTAAAAAAAAAAAATTCCATATTATTTGTGCAAATGAAGAGACTTCGCTTCCTCCTCGATATGCAACCCCAGCAACTCCTCTGAATGACACGCCCTCTTGAATACAATTCTTGATTACGAATAGATTGATGAATAGTTATTCTGTCTACTATCTTCAGTCTGTGTCATTCCGATAAGTACTTAAACCAGTACTAGATCCTCCTGCTGACTTGGGAACAACTTTTGAAATTTTCAAGAAGATGTTCAACAAAGTCAGTACCTCTGCTAAATCATCGTGGCGTTAAAGCACATCAAACCAATCGTATTAGATTATTTGACTCGTACTATTGATTTAATTATCCCATCTTGAAAACATATCATAATTATGCATGTCTAAGTTCAATAGATTGGCTAGAATTTTGTACATCTACCAAATCCTATAACCACATGCTCACAATCCTAGCGTAAATAACGCTATTCCTCCAAAACCGTAGTTGGCTGATCACACCTGTGTCCCTAACTAAACCACGTTCCCAATCCTGAATATTTAACGAAAATGAAACACATAAGATACACACAATAAAGTAAACTATAATCCTACCTAAAACATCGTTCTTTCCTGAAAAAGAAGTCTATTTTGGCTTCAACCTTACCAGACCGGTTCACAATTTCCTTTGCTAATTTCGTAGGTAGTCATCCAACCTCGAAACATAACCTTTAAACATAGCTTAAAACAAAATCCATTTGCCTAAGCAAATTCCAAAGGCTCAACCCTCTTCCTCCTTATACACGGAATATACAACGTCTAACGTAACTCTATAAAGTAACTTAGAACGTCACAACCTAATCCCCATACTCTCCAGAATGTGATATAAAATCATTACTTCATTCTGATAAGAACTCCCTCCGATCCTAGACTCCTGAAGAGTACTTTATATCTACCTTTTTTAAAGGTAGTACGCAAGTTTAACTATATGAAGATTGATCCACACCAACTCTACTAGTAACATTCACTATACCACTAGTGAATAAGATCACCCTCGCGCGATCCTTCATCTTCAAGAGTTAGTACCCTTTCTTGGATACGTTACAACCCCTCTATTAGGATCCTCTTCAGATTCCTATACCTTGTTTGTCTCCTTTATGAGAACAACTAAAGTCGTGTTAGTCCTATTATACGGTGACCTAAAACATACTCCTAAATCCTTCCTTGGCTTTTACTTTTAAAAGTAACGCCCACCGGAACTAATCCTTCGATCCTAAGTTCTGTTTCTAACAAAGAACTCAATAACGTACTCCTTTACTCCTTTGGGTCTGCAGCGCTTTCGCCTTGGACCCCATCCTCCTCCAAGTGTCAACCATTCCATACTATGGAATATAATTGACATCAACTCCTCCTAACAAACCGTAAAAGAGTACAACGAATCCTAACATGGCTCTAAGTTTTAAGAGACGCAACGCGGAAGTCATACAATGAAAAACACTCCTAAGGACACTAGAACCTGGAGTGCTCTGATAGCAACTGTGATACCCCTCAATTCTAGAGCCACGGGTGATCAAGTCCGAGCACAGATCCGAGGGATACCAAACAATTAATATGTAAACAAGTAAGAATACAAAAGAATTTAAAATAAAATAATAAGCTGAAAAGAATTCTAATATGAAAAAATCCTCAAACGAATAAAAACATTAATATAACTTAATCTTTCCAATCCGTATAACTCGGGAATCCATTAAGTGGACCCCTAATAATCCCCAACTGTAAATGAAATACAGAACCAAAATCCAAAACTAAAATAATAAAGGAACTCCTATGTAGTCGGAAGAGTAAGTGTCTGTATCTGCTTCATCGCGATCAAGCTCTAAGCCTGGTACTGACGAATAACTGAAAAATAAGAGTGGGTCAGGCCCACATGCAAGTTCCATCCTACTACAATCCATACATAAACCCGATACGCAAATACATCCTAGATAGCTCGGCAATAGCTAAAATAGTCCATATAGATATAGATACACACTATAAGATGCTCATTAACCTGTAGTCATCATACCTGAGTAGAAGGTAACACACAAAACGCACGTAGCGTATTCATGCACACCTATACCTACCAGGGAACGCCATTAGGTCCAGTTATCCATCCAAGGCGATATACGCATCCTAACAGTGATCAGGAGACTCAAGCTCATATCACGGTACCATAATGATATATATTTAAAGTTCTCTCCTATCCATCCCTAAGAAAACTAGTTAGTCGTTCAGCTTATTCAACTGCACAGACTAAACATCCGTAAGAAATCCAGTTAGTCATTCAGCTTGTTCAACTGCACAGACTAAAAATAAATAGGATTTTATATTCATAATCCATTTCCTTCCTAATACAGAAAAGTAAAACAACCATCGGTTATGTCGTTCAACTGTTTTAGTTGACAGGACATGCATCCATGTAGGATTTAACTGTTTTAGTTAATTCATTCCGTATGCATGAAGAAGTAGGACTTAGCTTTTTGATCTAATCCATCTCCAATATGCCACCGTTCCATACCGGTGCATGTAATGCAAATGATCCATAAATGATACACACTCAATTGAACCTCAAATACATCCCCACTATCCATATAATTGATAACGTCAGTATTTAATGGTTCATCAATTAAAATCCAGCACAATATCCATGTAATTGACAGACATATTTTAATAGTCCAGCAATTAAAGTCCAAATCAATAATTTAAGTAATTATAGAATCAAGTTTAATATTTCAGCAATCAAATTCCAAAACCGTAATCCATGTAATTGCAGATTAAAGTTTAATATTTCAGCAATTATAACCCAAAGTAAGTGTGAAACTCCTCGAGTCCGAGACATGACATAATGCTAATCAGAAATATAAACTGAGCATATTAATCTAATTCATGACGTACAAATATAAAACGGTACATCAAATAGTCCAGAATATCATGAATAATATCATATATTCAATTATTGCATTTAATCTAAACAATAAAACAGCTCTAAGTAGTACGCATTTAATTACAGAATAAGAAATTAACATGCATATCAAATAAACTGTAAAACATTCACAGCAAGATTAAACTATTTCAATTCAGTTGATTGATTTAAAATAGTTTAAAACAATATCTATAAATTAACCATTATGTTAATTTTATCCCAAACCTAGCATACTATTTTATATTATGCATTCCAGTTAATTGTCGGGTCCCAGAAATTCATTAAAATTATTTAACCAGGCTCAACCATCCCTAGATAGTAACTCCCGTGCCAAAATCCAACACTGGACAACCCATATGACGATTCCAGGAACTAGTTGATGTAAAATCCCAAGTGTTGACTAGTTCGCCTAAACTGGTTGATGTAAAATTCTAGATGTTGACTGGTTCGCCTAAACCGGTTGATGTAAAATCCCTAGATGTCAACTGGCACTATAACAAAAGTGGGTTTTTACGATAGAGTATTTACGAGGATCTCTTATTTTGCCTCGTTGAAGCTACTTTTTACGAGGCTTATAAGATGCTACTTGTAATTGTGACCTTTTAGGTCACACTTTCACAGGTGTTAATTAGAATCCTCGTAAAAAATGTTTTTATAGGAGGTTAAAGATCTCTTTATTGTTTACATATATTAACAAGGGAATTTTCCAACTTTAACGGGAGAAAAATTTCTTTGTCTATAATAGAACTTTTAAGGCACACTTTTTGTCCCGTGATAAGCAAAAATATGTCCTGCTTGCCATCTCCCAAAATTTCCCACTCCCGCGCCACTCACACTCAATTAGAGCCACTTAATATATATATATATATAAATAATAAATAAATAACTAAAAATAAATTCACTCTTTCTCATTTCCGGACAAAACCCCTCTTTCTCTCATGCCCAGGAAACCACCGCTCAAATTTGTGAAATTGGCTTCGCTCAAACATTCCAACCTACTTGGTTTCTCAATTTTTACTGATTTCTTTTGTCTCCACCAAAGCCCTAATTTCATTGCCCTAGTTCTTAATCTTTGAGGGTGCATTCATCAAACAAATCAAAGCCCTAGTTCTTAATCTTTGAGGGTTCATTCATCAAACAAATCAAAGCCATATTCCTTAAACTTTGGTTGATTATTTCATTTCAGATTAAAGGTGCGAAAGAGGATTTCATTGCCCTAACTCTAGGCAATTTCAGATCAAAGGTGCGAAAGAGGATTTCGTTGCCCTAATCCCATCCTTCCTTCCTGTAGCAGTATCCGGTCGTTTCTCGCCGCCGTCGACCTCTCGGGGGAGATAACCGTTCACTTTCGGGTAAGTACTATTGTTTTTTGTCTACTCTCAATTGTTGATCAGTTGCCAGTTAATTAATTTAGGACATGTTTATAATTTTCTGATGCGAATTGCTTTATTTTGAGTGTTTATTGTTTGATTTGGAGAGTTTTGTGGTTAGCTAAGATTTATTGGGTATGTGGGTTTCTCCTGCCCGGCGAGCTTCCCTGCAAATTCCGGCAGCCCATATTCATCTTTTACGGCTGCGGTTGGCCAGAATTTCTTACAGTCCATCTCAATCTCTCTCTTCGTTCCTCTTCTCTCACTGTTGTGATCTCGTGTATGTACCCAATTTGTTTTCAATTTTTAAATTTTCATTTTATTTTATTTTATTTATTTATTTTATTTTATTTATTATTATTATTTTTCTCATTTTATGTATATATCTCTGCCTCTTATTTAATCAAAAATGGAAAATAAAAAGTAGAGCATAATGAAATGAAATGAAATTAGGACTTGATTTTGGGACTTAGTTGTTGTATGAACTGTGATATGGAATGGAGGATGGACATTATTGTGGAGTTGTGGGCTGTGTCCCTGTTGATTTTGTTGATAGAGGAGTATGGGCTAGCTTTGGTTTTGTTGGGGCAGTTGTTGTGCTATTGCAAGGAGTATGGGCAAAAATCTGAACTGGAGTTTATTGAGAATTGTTGTGATTAATTTGGGACTGTGATTATATATATGTGTATTGCCTTGTGGTTTCAGATTCTGATAGTTAAACTTTAAATTGTGATGCATGTATATAAGTTTTAAGTTTGAAATTGAAAAATGAACTGTAATGCATAATATTGAAATGTGATGATAAAATTCTTTTAAACTCTTTTCAATATGTGCATGTGTTGTTAGAAGTTGGAATTTGTGAAAAACAAACTTGTTAAAATCTATGCAGAAGTGGCTCAAATGTTTGGTTGTTAGGTTTGGAGGGACTGTGGTTTACATTCAACCCTCCCTCCCCACAGGTGTCCCAATATGTGTAGAATGGGTTACCCATCTCTTTCCTTACTTTCCTATTTTTATATATGATATTTCTTAATAATTTTATGCAATTTTTTTTTAATTTAATTTTTCTTGTACTTGTCAAGAAAAAAAAAATTCTGGTTTATTATTGTGTATAAAATTGTGTTGGCATATAAATACTTTTTAATTAATTCGATTATGTATATATTTTGATTAAATTTGTAGTTTTTACATAATTACATTGGATTGTTATTGTGTGTATTAATGGGTGCTTGTAATAAGACTAAATGGCTCAATTGATTTACTTTTAAAATTCAAGACTTGTGTTTCTTAAAGGACTTTTTATCTTGAAGTGTTAACTTTGCTGTGAGTATATTTGGTACAAATGTACAGATCAAACCTTTGGCATTGTTTGTACAAAAGGGTTGCCTGCTTTGCACATGATCATTCACAGCACCGGCCTTTAAATCGCACCAAGCACTGGCCCTTTTGTAGTGAACATTATTAATATATTTTCTTAATTCAGAGTCAACTGTTCATAAACTAGGAAAGGAAGTCTACAACATTAATTCTGAGCGAAAAAGTTTACAACATTGTATACTAATATTCTGGTTGTTGTTTTTGTTATCTAGATGAGTTTAATTGATTTCAATAGATTATTTTCATAAAATTGATATTTCACACCTAGATAAGTGTTTACATTGCTCCGCTCCCATACACTCTCTCCTATCCCTTGTATTATCCAAAAAGTTCGCTACTCCATTTAAACAGATTCAGATTAGTAGTCACAGGAAGCACATTGCCATTATCGTATTGAAATTATTATCTAATCCGCATCCTATCCAAAGAGTTGTGGCTTTTAGTTGGCCAATTGAAAAGATGAAATGGACTTTTACCCTAAGAAATCACACCTTCCAGAATTTGGGAGGATTAGATCTCTTTACTACTTGTTCAATGGGAGAAGGCATTCTATCCAAGGTTCAGCTAAATATAATGAATAATGATAATTCTAAGAGATGCTCAGAATGATTGATTAAGGTTGTCTTTTCCCATTGGGACATGCATTAATTTGAAATCTGGTAGCCAAAAATATTGAAGATGTAAATATTTGCAAAATTAATGGTCATTTTAAATTCTTTTGTTGTTATTTGAGACCAGAATATCCTGGTTGTCTCTCAGTACCTGCAGACTGCTTTAATTTGAGTTTTTGTTTCTTTTATTTTGAACTAAAATTGACTTTTGTGCAGGCTTATATGTATGGATTTTTCAAGAACAAGCGCATTGTCCTTTATGACGCATTGATTCAGCAGGTGTGGATGCATATTGTATTTGAAAAAAAATTATGCTCATTTCCCTATACTTTGTTCATTAAGCTTGAATTGTTGAACTACTCGTGCATATTCTACAAGTAAAGCATGTTTTTCACCTACTTTACCATCAATGCATTGATTTAATTTTGATGTGTGTTTAAGCCAAAAAAGGAAAATGAAAAACCATGTCCCCGCCCCCCCCCCCCTCTTACACACTCACGCGCGCGCGCGCATACACACACAAAAAGAAAACCATTTTTTGCATCTTGTCTTGAATTTATGTAGTGGTTGATTTGTATATTAAAATGACACAACTACTTCAACTGGCACTCCTGTTGTAGCATCAATATTAAGTTTTTGTATCAGCCCTGTAGTGCAATGAACATGCACAATTCCTCACCTGTTAGTTTTTCCATAAATAAATGTAAATTGAAACCCTTGTTTGGCCATTATATATGTCTGATTTTTCTTCTTGATTTGCTTCCGGAATATATAAGAGCCACATTTCTAAACAAGTTCTACAGCTTTTTAAGACTGGGACAAGTTTGGTGTCTTTAAACATGGAGTAACATCATTTGAGTTCAAGAGTTTCTTGTAAATTTTTAGGTTAATTCCCCATTTTTGTTTTGTTTGGATTAGGACTGGTTGAGTTTTTTTTTTTTAAATGTATTATAAAGATATGTTCCTCTTCTTCTTTTCTATTTTTCTACTTCCATTAGCAATGCCATGTGCTTATTGAACATAATTTAATTCGTATATACGGTATACCTTGTTCGCTAGTAAGAAAATAACTTCCATGTATAATTAAACATGACAAAATGGCTTGGATATGTGGTTTCCATGTAGTTGATTTTGTTGGGAATATTTTGTTTAATGAGGTTTAGTTCTGATGACCATATAAATCTTAAAATGATTATATTTTAATACGTGCTCAACATGATTATTTCAGTCAAATAATTTTGTTCAACTTTGCTTGCTAAATTTTGCAACAAGATTTCTCTTTTCAAATTTATATATTGTAAACAGTTTTTAGGGAATGAAGTAATTTGAGTTTTTTGGTAACCTGCACTTGTCTTAAGCTAGTGTGATGTAACCCAAAAAACTAAAGTATTCTTACTAGAGAGCACAGTTCTTGTAATGTTCCTTTGCTATGTAGCAGTAGCTTCATCATTTGATATTGAAGATCCCGACAAATTAGGCATCTATATCTTCAGTCAAATTTCTTGGGCAGTGCATGAATTTTGGGCATCATGGGAGTTGTTGGATGTTCTTTTATAGGAAATTAGATTGCATACACTGATGCTGTCATTTATTGGTTGAAATAGTGTTATACTTCACAATGCTATAGTTTGGGATATTACAAATTGGTGCCTTAAGTGGTAATTCCTCCACTCCCCCCAACAGCCCCACCACCACCACAATGGGAGTATGTGTGCAAGTTTTAATGTTAAGCAGAATCCCCACCCAAAAAGGGAAAGAAAAAAAGAATAAAGAAAAAAAAAAAGAACGAATTCATATGTGAAGTCATGTAGATACAGATTTTTTAGGCCTTGCAGCCACATTTCTTGAAGTGTCTTGTCTTTTCTTTTTTCCTCTTCTGTTTTCTCAATTATTCTTCTTTCAGTTGACAAAGTGATTTAATGTAGTGCAAAAATGAGGAGGAAGTAGTTACTGTTATTGCACATGAACTGGGTCATTGGAAGCTTAATCATACAATGTACTCTTTCATTGTTTATGCTTTAATTATTCTCTTTGAATGTCCCATGATACCCTGCTAGTTATATATATCATCGTTACATATGTATGGGTACTGGTGTCAGATGTCATTAGTTTATAAGTTTTTTTGTAATTGGAGCCAGTGTTTTTAAAGGCATTGGAAATTGTGAAGTCACGCCTGGTTTCTTGTCTTGAGAAGAGGGTCAATGAAAATTTGAGGCATGGCATCGTGACTCCATTAACATGGTTTCAAATTTGTGATTCATGAAGTTTTCTCTGAGACTAATTAAATTTAGTAAATATAAGATAAAAATGTTGGGAATGTGTTGGGTGGAGGAAAATTAATTATGTTGTCTAGTGTAGAGGATTTTGTTGTCATTTTGCAATTATTATAAAACATTTTTCCTTAATAATATATTGAATCAGAGAAAACTCTCGGAAGTCTTTTTTTTTCTTTTCTTTTTCTGGTAAGTAGAAAACTCTAACCATGTAATTACCTTAAAAATTCACCCTAACTAATATTCTAGAACTTAAATTTGATTACTAGAAGCTTTGAAATTTAACTAAAAAATCGAAAAAGAAAATATATCAAATAACTTTAACTAATTTATATATATTTTCATATTCAGTCACTTCTAATTGGAAGAGACTTATCCTCTAGTTTAATCCTTTCTTTACAATGAAAAAAGTGTTTGGAATATTTTTAAGTTCTAACGACATCAACTTTTACCCAAATTTGGTCTCCATGAATTGGAATTTCCTTGTCTTCCGTTGACTAAATCATTATGAAATAATATTAAAATTTTCAACATAAAACAGTTTTGTTACTGGTTCTTTAATGCAATATTAGTCAAGGAATCATTTACTTGATCCTAGGATTTGGAAAGTATTGACTTGGATTAATTTTTAAGGACTTTTGATGAATCTGGGTGATCGATTTTAATGACTTTGACTTGAATAATCTTCGCGGTATTCTTGTTGGTCAACTTTGTTTATAAAATTTTTAACAAAAAAAAAAAAAAAAACTTTGTTTATAAAATATACTAGAGATAATAGGATGTCTAGTTTTGAAAAAATGACATGAAAAACCAATCTATAAGAAGTCATTGACATAAAAGTTAAGTAATACTCAGTTGAGAAAAATAACTAAACAGAGATATAAAATGCATATTTCTCTTCTACCGTTCACAAACCATATTTAACAACCTACTTTAAACATAAGTCTTAAATAAGTACTTAACAAGACTTGTTTTTCTTGTATGTCGTTAATTACAAGTCGTAAAAAATCAACTTTCTTGTAGTGTAATAGTAGTTCTTCAGTCATTATATTATTACATACTAACGGTGGAGTGCATGCATGTTTGGAATTTAGGATAGATGTATTTTGTGTGTGTGTGTAGAGAGAGAGAGAGCATTTTTTTTAGATAAGATTAGTAGATGTGGTAACCAGCTTCAAAACTTTTCATTCAAATTTTTCAGTTTTTGTTTCGAGAAGTAGAGAGAGATTCTATCTTGAATATGTAATGCGATGGTTGAACATCATGCATTGTTCTTCTAACTTTTACTACAAATTGAAGACAAACAAACATTTAAAATTACTAGAACACTTTTATATAAAATCTTGTAAAGGGAAATTAAAAATAAAAATTAACTTACCACCTACGGCAATCATGTTAGATGACATTTCTTCTGCTGAATCTAAAATAAAGGAATTAATAAAAAAAAAAAAAAAAAAACATGGTTTATAACTATTCAGTTTCTATTGTTGAATTGGTTAGATTTGTTAACGGTCAATAACATCATCCTTGCCTTTGTTCCAAAATGACGTACAAGTAAATAATTCCAAATATTTAGCTCCTCAAGGTGTATAACTACTGCTACATACAACTCTTAAATCTTTCCATCCTGAATTGCTCTCTTTTTCTGTTTTCCAATTAGCACGGTCATAAGGGGCATGCAGATTCCATTCCCTATAGCTGCGATTGTGCCCACAAACATTAGTACATGATGAGTGGAGTTAGCAAAGGAAAACAGTTTGAAATATGGAACAATTTCATTGACTTCATTTTTCTTTTGGGTATTATTCGAATTATCCTGGCTGTAACAATTCTCCAGCTGTTTTCTGCGAATGGCTTATTGATGTTGCAGCCTGCTCTGTGTTCGTATCTCCACTCAAATTGCTCTCCCCAGCTATCTTTCCAAATGCAAAACTTAATTTACTAACCGTGAACTATGACTGCATTTGTGAACTTGGATCAAAGCTGCAAAAGAAGAACATACATTTGAATCACTAACCTATGACTAAGCCAGAAAGGCATAATAGTGGAAAGTTGTTGGTAATGTCGAGGAAATTTTCCTTATCTTAAATTTTTCCTCATCACAAAAATGCTAATATTGTCATCCTTGTCTACTTTCCATACCCATGCTTCGTATATTTATTATTCATATTTAAGTTTAATATTAATAATTTATTAAAGAAAACATTATTATATTGAAGCCAATAAGTTCTCCAATATGTTCTCTAGAACTAATTAGTAGCATTATTTTAGCTTTGTGGTTGTTTTACAACTATTAACTATATTTGTGTCTAGCATCTTTAGGTTCCATGTTGAACTTGTTATTTTTTCTTTGATGTTTTATATCAATGTGCCTGAGAGAAGAGTATAGTAGTTATGTTTTTTACATTTTATGTCTAAACCTTTATTGGCAGTTGGCATTCCTGGTAATGAAGTTGTTAAGACACAGAACTTGCACTTACGGGGTTTTTGCCCTTTTTTTGACCTTTTTGTTCTATTTGGAATTGGAGGATTACATGACAGAGTTGAGTCCCTGGCAAAGCATGGGCATGTGGATTACATGTTTCTTTTTGGGGTTTTGATTGTTGGCTTCTCAAAGTGTGGGACTCTATTTTTGATGTCCATATCTTGGTAAATATTTTAGAGAATATGAAATAGAAAACTACCATTTTATTGTGTATATGTACTTGGGATATAATGGGGACACAACAACAGTCGTTTTGCACATCTACCCTGCCTCTAATTCTACTATAAGCCTTCGTATATATTCTTTATTAGCAGTTCATAACTTCATATACATTATTATCATACTAAAATTAAGACTTGTGTGATGCAGGTACGAGCTTGGATCTTGTACCATGGACAACGAGGTGAAAGAAGTGTGAAAAATTGGAAGTCAGCTTGTGCCAGGAATTAATGAACAATGTGAAGATTTACATATTGATCTATTTTTGGGAAATACTGGATTTTCTTTTTTAATTTTGGCATATTGAATAATGCTGAATTGTAAATTAATGCCTTACTCTTTTGATATGTACGTTTAATGGTGAATTTAAATATAAATTATTTTGTATATTGGTATTATATTATTGTTTAGTTGAAATTGTGGCCAGATTATATATGTGAATGATTGGATAGCAAGGTGTAATTATTATATCAATATATATATATATATATATATATATATATATATAGCTATCTACGGGAGGCTTTAGATCTAGTAAATAAAATATATAGATGTATTGACGAGAGGCCAAATATGTCGTGCATTAATTATTAATGAGGGGATAAACAACTCGTTAATTAAGTATTAACGAGAGGCCAATAATCTCGTAAATTAATTATTAACAAAAGGTTAGAAATCTCGTGAGAGTTTTATTTATGAGATGTTAGAATCATCGTGCTTTAATCTTTTACGAGTGTTATTATTTCCCGTAACAAGTGAAGAGTATTTATAGGACCATAATAGACGAGGCGCTCCGAAGTCCCGTGAAAAAGTTCCACAGAGGTCCAGACACTTGTAAAAGACCTTTAACGAGTGGCTAGTAGTGTCGTAAATTAATTATTAAAGAGAGGCTAGAAATCTCGTGACAGTTTTATTTACGGGAGGTCCAGACATTCGTAAAAGTCCTTTTTTCTTGTAATGTGGTTTGCAAAAATCTACTGAATCTAAAAGATGTCAACTGATTCATCATAGATGCCGACTGGTTTAGTAACCAGTTGAGGTTTTCCCCCAAGGTGTCAACCGGTCGACCGAATTACCAAGGTGTCGACCGGTTCATGCAAACCGGTCGACGTGTGCACTAAACCGGTCGACTGAACTGTGATAGTTCGTCTTCCATGGTTCCGGCGACTACGTCTTCCTCCGTTAAGGTCCTAAGACTACTGTTTTAAGTCCAAAACAACCCTAAACATTATGTACACCTCTTATGCATAATTTAAACAAGTTAAAATCACAACTTATGTGATAAACTTTAAATAAAATTCAAACATATACACATACAATTAACATATTGTAATTCAAGTTTTAGCATGCATATATGGTTGATTTTTAATAACTTAAAGTTCCTGGAGTTTCTCTAGGCATGCACAAAACACAGGTTTAAGGGAAGGAGATAGAAATAGAACTTGCCTTTAGGTTTCGGTTTGAAACCTTTCAACATCGTCTCTAAGTTCCGGCAACCCCAAGTAATTCTCCTCCTCTGATCACTGTTTTATTCCTCTGTTACTTCTTAGTTCAACCCACGAGTAACTCCCTTCAATAATTCCTTGAGCCTTTATATGTTTCACTCAAGCCTCTCTCTGTTCTTTCCCAAGAACCCTTACATAAATAGGGTTTATTTTCCAACCCTAGCCGACGTATACCATTCAATATATATAGGCATTTATTTAAAACCTAATTTTAATTCCCAACCTAATTATAAGACGGCTAAACTAATTACATAAAATAAAACCCTAAACTATATATGACACCTATAAAATATAAACTAACTAAGTCACACAAGCCATTAAATAAAACACGTCACTTAAACACCAATTAAATTAAACAATAAATTTAAACTAAATAAACATTTACAATTAAATGTATAGCCAGATATTAAACATTTAAATGCACATAAACCAAATAATCAAATAAAATGTGCATAAAACAAATAATCAATTAAAATGCACATAGAACAATAATTAAATTTCAATAATATCCTTTTGAGAAATAGGGGTATTACAATTCTCGTCATTAATCCGGTCTCAACACAGACGTCGTTCCTGTCCTTAGGTCCAACCTCAAACACACTCTTACACAGTCCACTTAACAACCATGAGATCCACTCATTATTAATCCATCATCCTACGCAACCTTAACAACTATACAATTATATACCTGCTCTAAAAATCCCAATCATACTTTAATCAAACAACCATAAAAAAACTAAAAGCAATATGGCACCAAATACCACAGTAAACAACTAACATAAAATATCTCTAATCTCCTTTTAACACCCATACCAAGTAGACAACTCCATAGCATTACTCGATTCAATTCTTATCTCGTCAAAACACACAATATAACTATTTCATACCTAAAATCTCAAAACCAAAGTCGATCATTCCTATTATTCCTCAATAGAATCACACATTCACTTTCTCTAATCACAAAATTATAAGACAACATTGACATTTGTCCTCAAGGCATTGCTCGAATCAAACGCCTATAAAAACTTCCTAGTACATGACTCACATCACATCACCTAATCGTCCTCAAACTACTATTCCATACACATTCCCTAGCCATCTCTGCTAGTACCAAACACCGGAAACACAATTCGTTCGGCAACTCGTGCCTCATATTCCACCGATTAAGACCACTCACAAAACAAACGCTACTAAAAACCAACAACTTTATCTCCCTCCGTGGGAGTGAGTCAAGCAAACTAACCAAACCTTTATTGATGAACTCTAACAACATAACAAACACACACAGGTCCGTTCACCCACAGACGCACACAACTTGTAAATGGAGAACAAGACTCATGACAAACGACGTCCTTGCCAGGACTAGAGCAAATGGAAAAGGGTAACGACCCCATTCTCACAAGAGACTGACTACTCGTACCTGAATCCACATGACACCCTATCACATGCTACTCACCAATCGTCCAACCATAGACATCCAATCTTACCTGAGACGAAATGAACTCCCTACACACAAGGAGAAGAACCAGCTGGAAACACACATAGGACTACGACCTCGATTCCAGGCAACCTCACCACTAACGGACCGTCACGCTCTATCAACATAGAAACCTCACATACAATACACCGTGATACCCCTGCTAATAAAAACCAATCAGGTAAGAACACCGACGTTCATGGCACACTAACACTAGAAACAATCACAGCCCTTCGGACACTACATCCCGTTCTACCCAGAATCAATCACTCCCAACCGACAACCTCTACGTCATAAAATGACACTTTACCATCCATTCCCTCTCTACCTTTCTGGGCCACACTCCCTCAAACTCCTTGCTCACAAGACCCGTAACCTCAGTCACAACAATCCACTAACTCCTCAAAAGAAAAAGGTACCTATCCGGCAACACCGTTCTCGCTGGTTCTAAAAACTAAGCCGTCCACAATCGCCTCAACTTGTGTACAATCCCATCACCTGCCTGACAACATACAACAACACTCACAATTCAAATCTATTCTCACATCATACCTGAAACCATTATGCTCATCAATGCTAAATATCACACCATAACGCCTCTACTGCCACTCATTTGAAACAACGGTTCAAACCTATCACCCTACCAGACTATCAAGTCATAACTAAGCAATCCTTCTTCAAACATCCTTAAGGTAACACCATCAAAACAAGAAATAACCATTCCTCTCGATACTCCCCCAACAATAACCACTATTTACCACTAGGAAAGAACCTCCATACGGCAATGCTATGCTGAAAAATCCTCAAATAAAATGGGCACAATCTCAGAATGCTCAACACCCAACAGTCTTCTCAAAACCACCAACTATGCAATCAATCATTAATACTTAACCAACTACTTAAACCACTCTTTCTAAGGCGATCTACATGCCTAAACTAGAAAACTTAATACCCTAGGTTCAACACCATTACCTCCCCTTTTCGCCGTTCCTCAGAACACCCTTGGCCCCAACAAAGGTCAAATGGGGCTAACAACTGAACCCACAAAATCAACCTCGTCCCAATCATTCTAATCATCAATCTACCTTTTTGAATCCTCAAACACCAATCACAATCTCCTAATACCTCAGATATAACATAAAATCCAACTCCAGTCCACAGTTTTAAAATCCTAGAACACAATCTATTTGGTAACACCGTACCTACCATCAATCACTTCATCCATAAACGACCGAGCACTTCAATGACCTCATACAACCTGCCTTATAGGGTAATCTTGCTCTACACAACTAAAACTAACCACTATACACTACCTCGAGACTCTCTCGACAATCGTGACAACCTATAACCTTACTCATCCACTGAACCATATAATTAAAGAATTCATTACCCGTAACATGCTCCTACAACTATCCAAAATGAGAATCACTCCTTGACAACCCAGTCTCCAAAACAGACTCTTACAAGACACAAAATACTCCACACCCTGCAACCGGTCCTATATCACCGCAGACATACAAAATCCAACAAATACCCACAACAATCAGAACTAATACGCCTCCTCAGACCATACCAGAAGATACACATCTGTATCCCATAGATTACATTCGTAACTCAAACAACTTCTGTCACACCTACCACGACCGGTTAAAAAAAAACCTCCGCACCAAACCGTGACCTAAGTCACAAACCCTAACCTCCTATGGTCATACCTTTCTCCCTCGAAACCTTTACTCACACACCCGTCCTCCACGATCATAGGAACCCATCCACCGATGCATGAAACTCACACTCTACGAACACTATGCCATAAAATATAAACCTGTTCTAAAGTCATGCTCTAAGTACAGCACAAAATTCACAAGAAGATCAAATGACTACACACCAAATAACTAAATCCACGAGCTAGAAGCCCATGCCATTCGTTCGATAAGAACCGGCACCCAAAAATCCTGGAGCAATCGAGCTCCTCACCTCTCAGGTCAAAACTTATACAACCATCTTTGTTTCATCCAGTACTCTGCCGTTCTAATAACCATGCCAATGTTTAACCGCATATACACATAATTACATTAAGTTATATATATATACACAAAATGACTGTAATTCACAATACCATATGCAACATGTTTGCACATACCGTGCTCACCATTTGCCATATTATCACTAAAATGAAACTGCACACACTGTGCCTACCACTTGCTGTCACCACATTCCTCATACTTGTCATCTTATCACAATTAACATGCTTTCAAATAACATGTACACTTCATTTATATATACTGGCATTTAAACACATAAGCACTTAGCAAATAGGCATATCTGTCAAACATTAAACATTAAATTAGGAAACAAGGAAGCATGCTTCTTAAACAGTTAAACACCTTAACACATAAGCACATAAACATACAATTCAACTTCCTATGTAACCCTAGGTAGGCCTTTACCCGTCGTCTTAATGGTATTCGAACCATTGTTCTGATACTATTTTGTAACGACTCGAACCCGAGGGTCTGAATCGCTAACCGGGTCCTTGCCCAAACTTGAGGTCAACAAAAGACGTTACTATTCTTTCCTATGGCAATACATAATATACGTGTCATCCCAGGGTTTATAAATAATAATAATAATAATAATAATAATAATAATAATATGAGATCATGGCTACAAAATAGGTCAAACAGTCCACTAATCCATCAAAATCTATAAAAGAACGTCGTCCACCATTTCCTTTCCCAAACCTGAAAAATGTTAAAATAATGAGGTGACCATAAGTTCAGTAGGTTTCTAAGACACACTTCTTATGACCCCGTGAATCTATGTATAGAATAGAGATCAAGATAACGGGATCATACTATACCAGGGATACAATCCATAATCACAACGTCAAATATAATTGTTGACCTTAAGGATTCCATCCAAGGACAATCTAGAGGTTTTGATGATAACAAACCATTAATGGTGTTTAAGAACTAATGTTCACATTAAGTGTTGTAGATGATTCGCATTCAAAGAAAAACCTCAATGAAGATCATAAAGACCATTCCAAGAATTTCATTACTCAAGATCACATCTATGGATAACAAATGAGACAAAGAAGACATGAAGTTGTAAGGAACCAAATGCAAAGTCCATCCAAAGATAGCTTGGACATCAATGATCAAGAAAGCCACTTAAAGAAAGGAAGAAAACAAAAATACCTCAAAGCCTAAAAGATCATGAACAAAGCCTGAAGAAAGAGGTAGATAGCTTGGTGAGTGCTAGCTTAAATTGTAAAGTTATTTTTGAAGTAACTTTATTTGAAAGCTCATCTCTATAGGACCATGCATATCATATCATCATTCATATGCTCCTATATATATTAGCAATAGACTATGCACTTTATTCATATATAATTACACATGAAGTCTTTGCTAAAGAGTGAGTTAGTTCAAGCTTGCATAAGCTTTGAAAGAACTCATCACTTGTGCTACAAATATTAAGACCATACACATTAATTATATAGTTCATATTGGTCAACAATTAAGGCATGAGAAGCCTTCATTACCATGATTTGGTAACGGACATTAGAACCCCAGAATGTGTGTCATGAAAAACTGTGTTTTTGGCTAAGTGTAAAAAATGAATTTTTGAAATAATAATTATTTCAAAATAATTTTTCCCGGTTATAACTCTTTATACTTCAACTAGCCTAAACTGATTTTATCAGAATTTTTGACCAAGTCTACATTGGTCTACATGCGGATTCATTTTTACCAAAACTGTCAGAAATTCAAATTTGTACTAAAACTAAATTTCTACATTTTGATTTAGTTGGATTTCAATTTTCTAGTATTTTTATTGAATCTAAATGGGGGTACTTCCTTATTTACATTGTAAACTTAAAGTAAATGGACATTTAGTTAAATGTTTTCAATGGAAATAAAGTATGTGCAGATGTCCTGTACACAGACTGTCTCACCTGTTAACTTAGAACAATTCATGAGGCAGCAGGTTCATTTCGGCTTACCGAAATAGAGGACCAACTCAGTTCGGTCTACCGAACCAAGAAAATGAAAATCTACTCTAGAAGTTTCAGACGACCGAAACTCAAAAGTCAAATGCATTGGCTCGTCCGATTCTCACAGAATGGTTTAGAACAATGGAGGAAGAAGTTTCGGTCGACCAAAACTGAAGAAAGAATTCTTTGGTCTACCGAAACAAGTATGATGGCCAACCTTAAACTATTTTGGACGACTGAAACATAATGATGTTTCATTTCGGTCGACCGAACCAGCTCAAATTCAAATTCAAACGGCTATTTCACCTAGAACTGTGTGCCCAACAGCTCTATTGTATATCAGATGCACCAGAAACTCTATAAATAGAGTTGGGTTTTCTGGTTTCAAGTTGAGGCTCTTAAAAGGAACTTCTACAGAGCTTTCGCTCTAGTTCCTCCCTCTTCTTGTGGAGCTTTTGCTCTAGTAGTCCACACAAGGAATCACCATTGAAATACATTACATATCATTAATGTGATTCATCTTGCAAACTTAGAGTTGAGCTTCTATTTGATTATTTCATTTGTAACTCTAAGTATGAGAGCTGTAATTTATATATTTGTCTATGTGACAGACATTCATTGTAAGTTTCATTATATATCCATTCTTGAGAGAAGAAGACCAAAAGGTGCTCTTAGCAAGGGAAAACTTGTTTAAGCTATTGTAAGGATTCTCTTTCTCAATCCATAAAAGAAAGAAGGTGTCTCTCTAATGAGAGGATTTGGTAGAGCTCTCCACCCACAAAAGTGAGCAATGGTTCCTTCTTAGCCGTCAAAAGAAGGAGAAGCGAGATGGCTTCATTACAAGGTCGGTTCTTCACCCGCAAGCAAGAACATGTAAAGGTTTGCTCTCCACCCGCAAGGAAGAGCCATAGTGGAATCCTTGAGAGGTTTTCTTAAGGCATGGACGTAGGCCAAGATTGTGCCGAACCATGTACATCGCGTGTCCCTTGGTTTGCATTTTCTCTACTTTCTAATCTCTATTCTCTTTATATTTGATTGCATATTTATTTACTCAATCTTCATATATCAAATGTTTAGTTTATTTTGAGTAGAATAGTTATATAAATCAATTAACTAGTATGTGAAGCTTAATTGATTGTGTGAGGACGATTGGATGAATGCTTGGATTAAGTTTAATGAGTGATTGATTTTAGTTTAGACTATATGTTCTATATTTGATTCATATATAGCTAAAATGATGTTGCATACCAAATGTTTGACAAAATGCATATTTAACACATCATTCACCTTTAGAGTTTATATGCACACCAAGTGTTTGATAAATTTGTTTTAAACTCTATGAGAATGTTTTCATAACATTTGCACCTTGAATATTAATCACTTCAATATTGTGCAAATGCTAATTCTAAATGATTAGTTGAATTGAATGTATTGAAGCTTAAAGGAATTCATTTATTTGAATCAATGATGATAACACTTAGTTGCATCACTAATTAGCATGATTCAATGTACAAAATGAATTGGTCATTTGCTAAAAGCAATCTACTCATTTGTAGCAAGCTCATTGTTTTACATTCCAAATATTAAGTGGTATCTACACTACAACTCACTAGAAAAGCATTCAATCACAATGAAACATATTTGACTCTAAAGTATAAGACAAATAAAATGAGATTAGAAAAGCTAAATCGAAAAAGTTTCATAGTTTGCCAATGACCCTATTCACCCCCCTCTAGGGTCATTACTTGGGCAACAATAACCACAATTGTCATCAAAGTCACAAGTATACCATGTATGACAATGAAGTGCAATGCCATGCCCATGTCACTCCCCTTATCCGAAACATCTTCGTTTCAACTTCCAAATCGTTAGCGTAATCCGACCCAAAGCACATCCAAGGCGTCACGAAAGGAGGATTGGCTAACTATCCAAGACCACAAGGCACCTCCAACCACACTCCCTTCTAGACTACACTACCACCATGGACCACTAGGCGTCTCCTAGGCGTCCGGTTTTTTTTTTTTTTTTTTTTTTTTTTTTTGCAAACACATTTCAAAATTTTTTCCCCAAAAACAATTTTCATTTGTTTTCTACAAACACTTTTCCCTTTCTCTTTTATTCCCAATGGATGCATTAATACTTCATGCTTCTAAGCACAATTCAACAATAAAATTATACATGCTCTTCTACATCATCATTATTTTATTATTATTATTATTATTATTATTATTATTATTATTATTTTCTTGATAGGAAATTCCAAACAATTATTTCACAACCACAACATCAATTTCCATAGCAATTGAGAATTCACATGTCACACAATATATCAAAATTAAGCATGCTTCTTCACAATAATGTAAATAGCCATGTATATAACCCAATTAGCATGTAAAACACATTTGTCATTTTGAGTACATACAACCACAATAGCAATGGACAAAATAATTAAAATTAAGTATGCTTATGAAGAGGAAAATTCACAAAAATCCAAGAAGTCATGGATTAGAACACCTCTACCTCAAATTTGTAGAAAAACCCTTAAAATGGGTCTCATTTCGAAATCCCAAGGGAGGCCAAAAGCTGAAATTGTTTGTATTCACAAGTAGATCTCGCCGTGCTCTCCGTTTTGCCGCAAACGGCACCCAAAAACTCCTAGTGGTTAAAGATTAATCAAACTTGAAAGCTTGAGAAAAAAGAAAAAGAAAAAATAAAAAATAGAGGGGAAAATGATCTGGTGTCGAAAGAGAGTGAGGAAGACAAAAAAAGAGGCCAAAGTTGGCCTCTTGGCCACAAAACCAAAAATTGGTGGGTCCCACCACCTTTTTTTTTTTTTTTCCCATTTAATTCATATATATACATATACAAATAAGTAATAACATCACAACTTTTGGAAAGGCGGGTTCCGAAATCATTATCAAACTGCAGAAGGATGGAAGTTTTAAACCTTGGTAAGAATATGATAGCTGATAAGTTTCTGTGCTTTTTGGAAAACATATATAGTCTACATGTTTTAGTTTTGCACTCTAATAGGTTTCATGGAGACATTAACTACCAAGGGAAAATTAATGTAAGCTGGTGGAATCTTTATATCATTGACCTAACTTTCAACAACTTTGGCGGCAATCTACCATCAAGTTATTTCTCAAATTTGAAGGCAATGATGATTGATAACTATAATGCACAACCAAAGTTGATTAATTTGGGTTATCTGTTAAAAGATTCTTTTGAAGATGTTTTTAGGTATTATTCACATTGAGTGAAGGTCACCTACGAAGGAAAAGAGGAAGAGTGGGTGAAAGTTTTAACTATCTTTACATACATTGATTTTTCAAGCAATGTATTTACAGGGGAAATACCAGATACTGTTGGAAATCTCACATCACTTATTCTTCTCAACTTATCACACAGCACTCTCAAGGGCTCAATTCCAACATCATTAGGAAACTTGAAGAAGCTCGAGTCATTAGACCTTTCACAGAACATGCCGACAAGGATGATCCCGACACAACTTACAAGTCTTACATTTATTTCATTCTTGAATGTGTCATACAATCTTTTGTTTGGAAGAATTCCGACAGGTTCCCAGTTTCAAACATTCTCAGAAACTTTATTTCTAGGGAATCCAGGACTATGTGGCTTCCCTTTGAACATGAGTTACAATAATATTGCTGGAGATTCACCCCCAATATTCGGAGATGGGCATTCAATCTTAGAGACAGAGGTTTACCTAAGTGCAGCATTGGGATTTATCGTGGGGTTAGGAATCATCATCTAGCGACAGAGACAAAGGCTTCACAAAAAAGAGGTAAAATTCCACCGCAACAGAATTAAAACCAAAACTCATCAAACTCTAACTCCAACAACGAAACATCCAAGTCCAAGAACAAATCGGCCAATGCTTCTTTTTTCAAAGCCTTAACCGATGAACAGAAGATGACAAACTCAACCTCCTAAAACACACCAGAGGTATATGTCGAATCTCCACTATTCGATGTTCTTCTACCAATTTTTCAGACCAGTTGGTCACCAATTAGGTATATGTCTGGGTTTCAATCGCTTGTGGAGTCCTTGTCCTTCCTCTCTCACCTCGATATCTCCAGCAAGACCCTCAATTCCTTACCGCATTATACCACCTTGTTCACTATCACTGCCACCGTTATTGGACCATATTGTCCACCATCACCACAACGCCAAATGGGGGGTCTGAGTAGGTGGTGTTGGTTTGATTTTAGGGTTTTGGATAAGAAATTGGTTCGTTGTTGATGGTGGTAAGAGATTGAAAGGTGGTAGCGATTGGGTGAGGTGGGGGGAAGTTAGGTTGAGATAACATACCTTGGCGATCTATTAGGTTGTGTTTGGATAAATAGGGGAGAAAAGAAAAAAAATGATAGTGTTAGTTAGGAGAGAAAAGAAAAGAAAAGAAATGATAATAATAATTTCTATTCGTGTTTGGATAGATAGGGGAGAAAAGAAAAGAAATGATAATAATAATTTCTATTCTTGTTTAGATAGATAGGGGAGAAAAGAAAAGAAATGATAGTTATTCTTGTGTGGATAAGATAGATAAGAGAAAAGAAAAGAAAGGATAGTGACCAAATTACTGTACTGCCCTTTCATAACCACTTCATACATTATCCATTTCCAAAATCTTGTTTCTTTTTTATAGTTCAATGCCATGGGTAAAAACAAAAGTAAAAAATAAAAATAATGGGTGAAAACAAAATTAACTTTTCGAAACTAATTTAAGCACAACAAAAGAAATTAACAATTTAGTGTGTACAAAATGTTTCTTGCTAATTAGTCAGGGGGGAAAGAAATTCTTGCTAATACAAATAAAGTTTTTTTGGGTAAGCTAGTATTATGATTCTATAATTTAAACATTCCAAACTCATCCCAATTCAGTCAGATTCAAAAACTCAATCAATTATCAAAATCTGACTACTTAAAGTGGCTAAGAACATGTTTGCAGGTCACAAAATGATTTTCATTGCGTAGTGTAGCCATAACTAATTCAGCACATCACCACCAAAACGGTGAACAATCTCGGGATTCACTTAATGTTTTTATGGACCTATACAACTACTGTAAGATGCTATTTAAAGGAGGAGAAGAAGAAGAAGGAAATTGTTTCACGAGAGGAGATGATAGAGAACATGATTATGAAAGGGGTGGGGTAAGGGGGTGAACATTCACAGGCCGGACTTCCTTTTGTACTATAATGTTCTCTTATTTTGTATATCAAATCAAACATCATCAGCGCACTCATACAAAGCTCAGACAAACTTCCTAAAGAATGAACACATTACAAACTTTGAACTACAAGAATCTCATCCCTTTTCCCATCAAACAACACATTCAAACAAACTTCCTAAAGAAAAAACACATTGGAAACTTGGAACTACAAGAATCTCATCCTTTTTCCCGTCAAACAACACAGCAATAGAAGGAACACGTACAACTACATAACCACCAGAATGGAACTCACAAAATGCTTCCACCACAGAACAGAGACACCAGCAGTGAAAAAAAATAAAATAACCTATATCAAGCATTCCAAAATAGATAACACATTATAATGTCTCATTAAAATAAAACAAACATATGGTCTCAAAGTTAATATCCCAAAAGCTTCATAGCGAAAGAGAAACATAATATAACCAAAAATAGAAATAATACAAAGTTCTACCAAAAGACATCCCCAAAAGACAATATAACTAAAACCAAAGTCAACGTCTAGAATCATCAGACATCAATTCCTCCAAGAGTTGCTTACGATGATTAAATGGGCAACCAAGAAATTGTGTCATTCTATCAGAATGATCATGCTTAGTAAAAAAAAAATGAAAGCCTTAACAATTGCATGCTCCTCTATTCCAATTGCTGCCAACTCCTTAAAGATTTCTTTTTCATATTTTCCCTTTTGGTTGCACTTCTCATAAAGATTGTTAAATGTTTTCTGAAGATCATTTCCTCTTCAAGAAGTTCATTTCCCTCTTTAAGAGTTACAACAACACCTCTCATTACTCCAATCATTTCATTATCTTGATCAACAGTTAAAGATTTCCTTTTTCTTTTTCCTTTTGAAGAAGAAGTGGAATGGGAAGGTACACTTGAAGGTGTTTCAGGAGACATCATATTCATATTTTCAAACTCAGTATCCAAAAAACCCGTATAATCCAAACTTGCTTCATTCTGTGATACCAAGTGATCAATACCATAAATGCTATCTATAGGATCATCATTATGAGTTGGCACCCATTCATTGCTTTCCTCACTAGCACTTGCTGCTGATTCATTATTCTTCTCCTTATCATTTGCTACCCATGTGTCCATCATCTCCTTAGCAATTAGGGCATTAAACCCCCTTACCCTATCCTTGGCAAATAGCAGTCTTCCATTTCTCAGTTGCTAGTTTTGCCTGTTGCCAAAACATAAAAGAGAAAAAAATATATATTATCATTATTTCAAAATGAAAAAAATAATAATAAAAAAATAATATATCTCTTAAGAGTAAAATAATAATAATAATAATAATAATAATAATAATCACAATTAGAAAACCAACTGCAATCAAATCAGCCCAAACTTCAGATTTAGTGCTCCACATTTTTGTTTCTTGACTCCGAGCAAACCCACTCAAACCATTTTTGAACAAGTCAAAACACTCGTTAAAATGAGTCTTGGTTGTTTTCAATTGATTCTTCACTTTAGCTTTGTTGATATCAATTTCAAGTTTTTGTTTCAATTCTTCAACAATTTTATGATAAGCTCTTGTTGTGAATGTCTCATCAAGCATATTCACCTTGAGATATTGATTATGTAATGCATCCACAAATATATCATCCATTTGTGCATTTTCAATCCAATCTGTCCCTCTTCGACACACCACTTATGCTTGATTCTTTACTCATTCTTATGTCTATATAATAATAATACAAAGAAAGAGACAAAAAAAAAAAAAGATTCAATTGAGGATAGATAGATAAAAATAAAAAATAAAAATAAAAAATGCATGCAAGGTAGGAGTTTATAACAAGTTATTAGCATTTTACATCTCCAAATCAAAACAAGCACTCTAACATAAAAGACGTTAAGTTTTTTCAAGCAAATAAACATATGAAATATCACATTTGATTAGCTACATAGTCATGCCACATATGGGAAGCTATTGAATCTTTCAAGTACTCCCCCAAACTAAGCTTCGCTTTTCTTAATTGGATCAGCCTCTTCATTTCGAGTTTCATTGAACAACTCTCGGTCTACTTCATTAATAAGGCTTTCATCAGGATCCATGCCCATTAAATAGTTGTGTATGATGCAACATGCTAAAATAATATCAAGTTGAGTATTAACATCATATATTGGTTCAATACTGCTTCCTATGATAGGAAATCGTTTCTTCAACACACCAAAAATTCTCTCAATAACATTGCATAGTGATGCATGTCGAAGGTTGAATAGCTCTCGAGGATTCTCCGGTCGGCGTGAGGACCATTCTTTTAAATGGTAGCGCACACCTCTATAAGGCATGATACGTCCGGCCTTCAATGGGTATCTCGCGTCAACAAGATAATATTTCCCTATTAAGAACAATAATAATTAATATTGGCTTCATATTAATAATTTTTTAGTTAATATTAACAAAATTTACCTTGAGGAAGTTTTAGTTTATCTCCATTTCTTTCTAGTGCACTAGCCATAACTCTTGAGTCTGAAGCGATACCCTCCCATCCAGGTAAGACATAGGTGAACTTCATGTCAAATGAACAAGCAGCTAACACAATTATTGTTAGATAATTCTTCCTACCACGATATCTTGGTGCATCTTCGTTAGATACTCTCACACAAACGTGTGTTCCATCAATTGCCTCAATGCAATTCTGAGATAAATTATTATATAAAAATTTACATGTAATAGTTAGTGAGAAAAGAAAAATTGAAGTATTGAGGGATACAAGTAATAATCACATTTACCTTAAAATATGGATGAAACATATTGTTATTGAGTATTTCTGGGGGGACGTTCGATCCATTAGGTTGCTTGAGGAATTGTTCTTCCAAGGATATTATTGCTTTTAACACACTATGAAAATGACTGCTTATGGTTTTACCAGAATGACAAAAGAAAAATAACATTGTCCGATTCCTCACATTGTGTGATATAATGTGAAGAAACTTGACAACTTGCTCTTCAACACTTGCATGTCTTGTGGGTCAAAGACCACCATCTCTCGTAAGCAGCTCACAGAATTTTGAAAAGCTTCTGGTCCCATACAAGTAATGTTACGACATTTCACACTTATCCTAAGCTCGTTTATTAGTTTATCCCATGTTATTTACCTTTCAATTTCTGGTTGTGTAATAGGTTTATCTATATAATTTCTACGTTTTCGACGCATAAACCAATATACGACAATAGTAGTGACTAGAGTTGCAATTTTACGTCGTCTTTGTTGCCACATTAAATGAAATTTTAGTATCTCATTTTGTTGTCTCTCCATTTAAAATTGTAAAATGCAAAATGATATATTAATAACCAAAAAATAAAAAATTGAAAGCAATTAAAATTGATGAATAATGACCAATGACAACAATTATAAAAGACAACAATTATATGTGCTAAAGAATTTTTATGTCTAATTGTTATTATCTAGTAATTATTTTCATGACTAAATAACATATGTTACTCCTCTAATCTTCTTTGGTCTAAAGCACACCCACTTTATATTGTGTAATAACAGGAAAAGCTCTTGCTTGACGCTAACAAGGCTTTAGAAAGGAAAGTAGAGAAATAGCGCGTTATGCTTAAATATGTGCCAATTTAGGCTTTTGAGTTTTGGTTGTAAGATATGTCCATTTTATTTCATTATTTTTACCTCAACATATTTTCATTCAACAATAAAAGATTTATCTGTAGTTTGTATGTGTTTATGAATTCTCATATGTGTTTTTGCCTTTTTATTTCTTTCTTGTTTGGTTAAATTCGAATGGTAAAAATAAAACATGATTCATTAAGAAAAATAAAACAGTTGCTCTATAATCTATTGTAATTTTTTTTTTTTTTCCTGGCAAACAAAATAATCTATTGTAATATGAACACCACATATTGATAATAAAAAGCAGCATATATCTTGCTCTCTCCAACTCATGAAAACTATAATGTGACTCACACATAAGTTACATCTATTTCAGTATTTTATGTTCAAGAAGGAACATAAATTATTGCATGAGAAACAACAATATAGCATTGTTATAGCATGAACTACTCGCAGCTTTGGTCATTCTTGTAACTCCAACTTAGAACGGTACCATTTCATTACTTAAATCTACTAAGCAATGCCATGTTTTTAAATATAACCATGTTTTAGATTTCTGAAAGTGCATAAAGCTGGCTGTTTTTCCCTCTATTCACTATATAGCTCTGAAAAGTCCAAGTTCAAGTTAAAGTTGAACCACCACCACCTAGTAGATTCAACACCTATGTTGCTAAAAATTCTGGAGTGCTGTAGACTAATTCAACACCTAAGTTGACTTTGACAAAACATCCATTGATAAGTTCATTTCACACCATACTTTTTTCATTACAGAGCAAAAAACCCCATTCAGCAGTTCCTTCCATGTAATAATATATATGTCATATATCCATATTGTTTTCAATCTCTAGATAAGTGTCTTTGAATAAACTCTAGAATTGAATTTGACAAACATCATCTATATTCAAATGACATCGCCCATATATATAATATATATAGACACACACAGTCACACACTACACAACACGCATTCAATATATATATATATTTAAAGAAGTAGCCTCATATACAGAAACCCCCTTCATGTATCCCAAAATTATTACTAGTCACTGAAAATTAACAAGAAAAATAATAAATTTATTACTAGGGTTTATTGAAAATTAGCAAGAAAAAAAATCCAAAAATTGATTCAAAAGCATCAATTGATTGCAATAATACTGACCTGGTATGATTAGAGGAAGATTTATGGTGATGGCTGAAGCTGGAGAAGAGAAAGAAGCAGTGTCGCCCTTACCCGAAGCTGAAGAAGAGAAGGAAGCAGCGTCGCCTTAGAAAAAATGAACTCTATTGTTGCCCTAGTAAACCACGTAAGAATAATTATATAATTGGGACATAAATGGAATTACTTTTGTGTATGTTGATTTGTAAAAGGTATTTTTGGTATTGATAATTTATAACTTACTCCACTATCCTCTCTCTCTCTATCTTCTCAAATTGGGAGAGAAAACATATAAGGGATAGGGAGGGATATCTATCCCTCCCTATCCTTTCTTTTCTCTCCACTTAACCCACTCAAACACACTCTCACATTATCCTTTCTTTTATTTTCTCTCCATATCCCTCAAAATCAACCCTACCAAACACACGTTTAGGGTTTTGGGTTAGAAATTGGTTGTTGTTGATGGTGGTAAGAACTTGAAAGGTGGTAACAATGGGGTGGGGGTGGGGTAGGAGGTTGGGTTGAGATAACATACCATCGCGATATATATATATATATATATATATATATATATATATATATATATATATAGATGGATGGATTAAAGGTTATGAGAGAGTTTTGGAAAAGGGTATGTATCTATTTTCTTTTTCCAAAACTCTCTCATAACCTTTAATCCATCCATCTATATATATATATATATATATATATATATATATATATATATATATATGGATGGATTAAAGGTTATGAGAGAGTTTTATTGATATTGTATAATATACAGAGAGGCCAGGGTTTCGGTGGTGGTGGCAGCAGTGAGGTGACGTAAGGTGACGTCGTATTGCACTCTCACACATAAGGGTAATTCGGTCATTTAAGTGTTTTGATATATTTTTTTAAAATTAATAAAATAATGAAGGGCAAACTAGACTTTTCACACCATTTAAGGCTTTATTGGGATGTTACATCAGTCAGGTGTGTTATTTTTCAAAAAGGGTAATTTACATAAATCTCCTCTATGGTTTGCCATAATTACAGGAGCCTCTCCTCGGGTTTAGGAATTTACTCGGACCTCCCCTAAGTATGAAAATATCCTACACGGACTTCCCTGATATGTGAAGGACCATTAAATACACTAACGGACCTGTCAAAATTACTGAAATACCCTCAATTTTCTATGATAAATGACTAAAGTACCCATATAAATAATATATATATATATGATATATATATATATATATATATATATATATATATATATATATAATAGTGTACATAAAAATGATGAATTTACTTATATACCTTCATATTATTATATCTATACATACATCTATATCTATCTTCATCTTCATCTCCATCTTCAAGTTCTGAGTTATGAAAATAGGATGCAATTCTTGTAAGCTACTTCGATTAAAATAGAAATAATATGGCAGGCATAACCCAAATCCCTCCCATATACAACAGTGTCATTTAAGAATGGAAATAATAAGTTTATGCTAAATTATTGAAGTTCTACTGCAATTTTTAGAGGAATTGTATTGGAGAGAAAAACAAAGATGATTAATCTCTATATACATCCAATTAGAAGTGTTTATGGGAATTCTTCACCAATCTCTTATAACGATACTGATAGAGGATTTATATATATGCTTTTCGCCGTCGCTGACTCACAGCCTCGCTGTCTCACAGCATCGCCATCACATATCCTCACCCTCGCCGTCTCACAGCCTCGCCATAACAGATGTTTACTGTCGCCATCTCACAGCCTAGTCGTCTCAAACCCACCACCACAACCCGTCATTGTCACAGATCTTCACCGCCATCACCACTGACTAAATCAGGTGAAGCTTTAGTAGATAAAGGCTTGAAGCTGATGTGGCAACATATTGACAGTGGATGAAGATCTGGAAAATGAAAATAATTATATATATATATATATTTGAGTTTATATGTATTTATATATATATATATATATATATATATATTAAGGGTAGTTTGGTCCACTTTATTTTATTTATTTTTTTAATAATATATTGTGAACATAGTGGGGATAAGGGTATTTTTCATATTTTACTTAATTTAGAAGATGACATTAGCACAATCCGTCAATCAATGACGTTAACTCTGATAGAAGGGATGTGTGTATAGGATATTTTCATTTTTAGGGGAGGTCCGAGTAAATTCCCAAATCACATGAGAAGTCCTTGTAATTATAGCAAACCATAAGAGAGGTCTATATAAATTACCCTTTAAAAAAAGACCCAAATATATTGCTGTCATTAAGACAAACATTAAAAAATAATTTGTTATTGTAACCAAAAACTTTTTTACTTTGGAAGAAATTTTTAATAGAGATATTGTTTTTGCAATTTTTAAATCAAATAATTAAAAACATATCTAGAATCTAATCATAAAAGAATGGACATACTAGTCCCAAATTATTAAAAGCATACAATAAAATCTAATTACAAAAGAATGGACATGCTAGTTAGGGGTGGCAAATTACGACACGATAACATGACACGAACACAACATGAGTTAAAAGGGTTTGGGTTTGGCATAAAAGGGTTTGGGTCATAAAAGGGCTGACACAATTTACCCGTTCACTTAATCGTGTCGGGTTAGGGTTAAAGGGTTCAAGCCATGTAACCCGTTTATGACCCATTTAACTTAACATGTTATAATCGTGAATATAACCCATATAATATGTTACCTATTTAAATCCAATTATTATGGATAGTTAAGTCATTTCAATATAAACCTTGTCTATATCTTATGATTTTTTTTTATTTTGAATATTTTGGTTAATTATGACAAAATTTTCTATTATTTAGTATTTGATTAAATATTAAATGTCTCGTTTTGATAAATAAAAAAAATAAAAAAATTATTAAACAGGTTGACATGTTTACCTATTTAATAAATGGGTTGGGTTTGGGGGTACCTATTTAGTATAATACCCTTACTTCGACACAACACGATTATGACCCACGAACACGAATTGCCACCCCTAATGTTAGTCT